GAGCAAGTTCAATCTCCAATGTGGCGAAAGGAATGTTCCAAAAATATTAAATCATTCAGCAGAAAAAGTAAAAAAGGAAATAACTTCATAAAAGAGTGTGAAAATGAAGAGGGAAAAGGCAGACCACATTTTTTTTTGATAGGTAATCAGAGAATTTTATTCCTTAAAAGAGAATATACGGGAGGTATACAATCACTTAAGGCATGAAAGGAACAACATGAAATTAGGCAACCCTACAACAGGATTTTTAACTATTGCATTAAACCAAATATACAAAGTCAATCTTTGTTTGATTTTCGAAACATCGATCGTTCCGTTCTCTCCATATGCACCATACAATGCATCCCGGAATAAGATTCCATAGAAGTTTGCTATCCTTATCGCGAAGTTTTCTCCTTCATGCCCGCACCACGTCTTCTATACGTCTAGGTAGCACCCAATCCATTAATTGAGAAGCCAGAATACTGTTCCAAAGCCAACGTACACCATCACGTGATCTTCATTCAACCAAAAAAGGAGAAGGGAACTAGGAGTTTGGACAAGGAGAGGCATCTGTGTCTTCCCTCCAAGAAAGGACAGCAAAGGGGAACTTTATTTCTGAGGCAATGACCCTGACATCATAAAGATCACCTTGGCAGCATATATATAGAGGTGGATGAAGGGGGGGGGGGGTCTACTTCTGAGGCAACAACCTTGGCCTCATCAAGATCACCACGGCAGCATTTATATAGAGTAGGATGAAGCATATATACAAGGAATGAACCAACACAATACTTTCATCTCTAAAAAACTTAAATTTTATACGAGGGGCCTATTTAGTGTGACATAGGAGTACAGCAAGGCTCATATCATCAAGTGTCGCTATCATCCACAATCATAATTGGGCATGCTGGCCCTGACACAAGAATGCAAAGCAAATTCAATTCATGATGTGATACAGATTGTTAGTTAACTCTTCAGTTTGCTTCACAATCTGCAGTGCAAGATCTCTAACCCTTTGTCCTGAAACTGGATTTGAATTCTTGATTTTTATGATTGCTCTAGGATTTGTTTCAAGAACAGGCCTTAAGCTGGTTACTTGACAAACATGG